TTCAGTGGTTCGAAATTTTACTGTTCTTGCTACATTTGAACATATCTATGGACCCCCCCCTACAATATAGTCTAATATAAGCTTATGAATGTATATATTTTGAAATGTCTCACATCTTCCCCACTTTCCCTTTCTTTTAATGAAGTTATCCATACACAATAGCTGACATTTTTATATTACATGTTTCCTTTTCTTCATATTCCTCTATTTTGTATAATCCCTGCATTTATCTTATGCATTCTCTAGTCCAGCATTCCAGTTGAATCACATTATACCAAGTTATATCCTCCTTTCCCAGTACTGCTTTTTTCTTCCCATTTTTATTCATTTTCTCTAGTCAATCTTTTAATCTAACTATTTTTAATTCCTTAATATTTTCCTTAAAGTCCCCTGTAATTTTAATGGAAACGCTTCTAATTCAATTATTGGACATAATGGCAAGAATGATGGCCTAAATTTCCCCTTATGCTTATCCCAAATTTGTAATGTATTCTTAAGGAAAGGAGTCTTCACACTTTTCTTGTGTCTTTATTATTTTGTGTCCCCCCAACTTTCTTTTTTTGTGTTGTTATATTTGCAATTAAAATTGTTTCTATGCAATTTCAAATAATTTTCTTGCAGTTCAAACCATGAAAAAGCTGGATTCAGATTTTTGTGAAAACCAATATAAAAAGTGGTTGATAATATGAAAAACAGTGAGTAGTCTAAGCATATTCATTTCCCTTATCCCTGCCAAAGCCAATCCCCAAAAACTCTACTGTTACTTTCTATGGAGTGTTCATCAATGTACACCAAAAGAGGAAAATCTTTCTAGGAAAACTCATATGCAAATTTTATTTTATTTTATGGAAATTGGGACTACATGCTGTTTCATGAGTGAAGCTTGGCTATAATATTCTTTTATTTTCCTATTTTTATTCATTTTTCCAACCAATCTTTTAATCTAAGCAAAGATTTTTCAAAGTCTTGGTAAATTTCCAGTTCATCACAGATATTTTATTTAGGATATCCCACATGAAAAACATATGCTCAGCCACTGAGATAAGGTCCTTCCTGAACAGAAAAAAAAAACAAAACGTTGCTGGTGACCCAGGCCGCATTACCTAATAGTTTAGATATTAGTCATATTTATACATGCCATTTAAATCCACCTCACAACCCATCATTCCTTGAACATTATAGTATATTCTAGTACGCTGAAGAAATAAGCTATGATAACAGCAGCACACAATTTCAATGGCCCACTTCCGCAGGAGCGGAAAAAATGTTTTGCCTCCACTTCAAAGCCATTCTAGTTCTATCTTTTCCTGTAGCTGAATGGCTTCCACTTCTACCTACAGGAGAAACTGAAACAATATACTTGGAGATAATGTCACAATGATGGCAAATCATGCCTTCCATGGTTACACTAAGAAGAGCAGGTTTAACTAACCCAAACCATAGGTATATACATATCTCAGCTGCTGTGCAGCTGAACCAGCAAAATCAATCTGGAATAGAATGAGTCTTCCCTCATCCCCTGCTCATTCAAAGGCCATCTTATCCAAGGCCACCTATCTGGAAGTGCAGCATGTGTTGAACACTGCTACTCCAGGCAAGCAGGCCGAGGTGCAGGAAATCAAATTCCAACAAACCTGGCTAAGCAAAAAATTACAGACTTAATGAAAAAGTTACTCTGTAAATGCTCAGAGGCATACAACACTCTCTGCCATCAATGGGTTTGTAGACCAAAAGGTGCTTAACCTGTGCTCATTTCAGATTACCTGCAAGAAATTAGCCTTTCATAATATACACACTAATCTCATTTGTAAATATTAAACTGTCTTATTTTGTTTCAGTCTATAGGTCTATAGTTCTCCATTATTTCAGACAGTGCTCTTTCAGTTTTACTTGAAGATCCTTTTGCACAGCTAATGCGCTCTACCAACATGGTAGCCATTCCATAATCATACATTATATGTCTGCAAACAATAAACACAATTATCATCCACCTCCACATTACCAATTGTTGAGTTTGAGACAAAAGATGAGAATATTAGAAGATTGCAATATTGAAAATATGAGAAAAATTAATAAGGTATAGGAAAAAAATAAACAGCTATCAAATGTACTTCCTGGCTCAAGCAGCAAGACAATACTATCAACAAAACAGCTCTTCTCCTCACCAACGAAGTCACATTATCCAAACCACAGTTTATCATAAAACAATCAATTCACTACAGCAAGATGGAGAAAGCAAAAAGTAAAATTATTTCATAAATTGCTAAGTAATGAACAAGGGTATGCCTTCAGTCAGTTCCCTTCTTTCCAGGTGTCCACAATTGCATTTGCCATCTTTTAATCCGGGGTGGTTCAACATATGGCCCCTGAGGCCTTGTTCTGTGGCCCTCTTGCTGCTTGGAGCCACTTGCCTCTCCTCCCCAGTCTGGCACAGGCATGATTGCAGCAAGCTGCTGGCCTGTCCCACTCTCTTCTTGAGGTTCAGAAAGCGAGCAGGTCAGGCCGGTGCAGTTACAAGAGCTCACCCCGGCATGCCCCGCACCACTCATAAGCAGAACCAGGCAGGGCATGCTGGAGAGAGTTTGTACAACAGGCTCAGCATGCCAAGGGGGCAGGGGGTCATATGGGAGGGATTCTGGCAGGAGATACAGGGAAGAAAGGAATGGGCCACCCTAGAGGAGCGGTAATTGCACTTGGCTAGTGGTGGAAAAAGGAGCTTATGAAAATGTAGTTCATTGCACCTCCCCCCCCCCTCGTTTCCATGATGAAGTCCTCATGCAGCCCTCAAGATACAAAAAGGTGGAACACCCTGTTTTAATCAAACAAAAGCCCTACCATTCTGGAATATGGGTAAAAACAGCTCTCCCTGATCTTGCACTGGTATCACTGTTACTCCAGGATTATCGAAACTGATAGCACAAGGGACAAGCTCTTTAATCCACCTCAAATCCTCAGCAGAAAACAGAAACTAAAACCTCTGAGAGGCTTCAATTGCTTCCAAAGCTAGTGCAATATGGATGTGCCCCCATGATTGAATGGGTGAGGATGGAGTGAGCCCTGTCTACACAACTGTGCTTCTGAAGGTCAGCAGGGCACTGGAAACTCTCCTAAAAGATCTCTGGATAGCCAAAGCTTTGTGAAACTCTAACCCATGCTTACAATTTGGCTATAGACAATCTTAACTGAGGCCTCCATTCATTTTCTAGAATGCTGGAAGACTTGCTTCTTACTGAATGCATGAGCAGAATACTATCTGCATTTTCCTTATTATCTCTAGAACTCCTAGGCATAGAAGCCCATCACACCCATTTTCAGAAGAAAGTAGAGAACTCTGGGTCAACTATTTCCCCGAATGGGCATCAAATCACAAATCACAAGCCAAATAAAACTAAAGTACTGGTAATTTTATTCCTGTAAGCCACTTCACAAAATCACTGAAAAGCAGAGGGATTTTGGAGTCCTATATGCCTAGATTACTTCTGAAGTCTGGTTTGGATGCGTAAACATATTTTATTTTTTTATATATATCCTGCCTTTTTCCTACAAAGGGCTCAAGGCAGCTTACATCATTCTCCTCCTCCATCTTATCCCTACAACAACAACCCTGTGAGGTAGGTTGGGCTGAGAGTCTGTGACTGGCCCAAAGTCATCCAGTTGGTTCCATGACTGAGCGGGGACTAGAACCCAGATCATCTGAGTCCCAGTCCCATGCTCTTAACCACTACACCACACTGGCTCTTCATATTCAAGAATGCAACAGAATTTACTCCCAAGTATGCAAAGGATTTCAATCTTAGATGCTTTTAGCTTATATGATCACAGCTGAAAATATATAAATATCAAAAGATACTAGCACAAGCAGGAGGACACATCTGTTTACATTTTACCTCCTTATTCTTTCAATAAAGCAACGTACTTAAATACATATATTTGGAGCCTCTAAACCACTTTACATTCCTGATCAAAGGCCAGCAACAATTTGAGATCCCTTTAGCACACCATAAAAGCTTATTTCTCTGACCATCCATGTACTTAAGCTGATAAAAATGAGCCAATTTGGTTGTATGACATCTCTACTGGGTTTGTTACCTGAGATTGTGGCTCCTTAAATAAGAAAAGGTACAGGCAGGAAAAAGTATTGTCCATACAATTTGGTGATTAGGCTGACTGCATTTACCCTGAAAGTGCAATTATTTGTTCTTTAATGATCTTTCATATGTGACTTAAATCTAACCCAATTAGTAAGTGCAAGGCATTTAGTTTTAGGATAGCCCTGAATACATGCAGTTTGTGAAAACATGCTGAATAAAACTAAGAATTATTTTTTAAAAAGTTAATGAAATGACTGATCTCTGGATTCCCACCTAATAAAGACTGGAGGCAAGGGGACAATAGGAGAACATGCAAAGCACTGCCAAGAATATAGTTTGAATATCTTCAACATAAAAGCATGCTAACATATGGTGGCCAATTCTGAGAGGTCTCCCTTCCTTAGAGAGACTAATTTCACAGAGGACCCATGCAATCAGTTTCTGCCCACATAGCTATGTCATTTAGAATTTACCCCAGCCACAAAAAGAAGTCACTTAATAAGGCTCCAACACAACTAGGGAAATGTTTCAAGGAGCTTGAAGATATGTACAGAATGTGTACAACTGTACAAACATGTGTACAATTCTTTTCAACAGCAGCATCTACACAACTTGCATGGTTCCATGACATTTTAAGCCCACCAATGTCACCCACCAGCTAAGCAGAACTATGATCTGGAAGTGTCCACACTCCAGAAAGTAAGACAGAACATGTGGAACTCATCTATGGTATGTATTATGTGTGGGTATCAGGATAATTGAAAGGATTACGACATTTCAAAGTCAATCAGGGGGTCCATGAGCTACATACTAAATAAAGGTTGCTCAATCCACTCCATCTGGCATATACAAACAAAAACAACACAAAAACATCACATGTGAAGGCCCCACATCTCCCATAGTACTTACGTGATTTAATATTGGCGTCTCTGTAGGTGCCATTCAGAATTGCAAGTTCCATCAACTGCATCTTTTTAAGGCTATCTTCTCCCTCTGCCTGCACAAATAAAATAAAGCATTAAAATAGAAGCTTACAGTATTAGCACTGCTGCAAAGACCTTAGCACCTTCTAAGCAATACATGAAATAGAATCACATAACAGAAACATCCTGATGCTGCTTTACTCAAGAAAGTCTCCTCCATGTGTGATATTTCCTTCCTTTCTGTCCTAAAGTCTGCATTCTGCTACTTTCGCCCATTCTCCTATACTCAAACAATACAGGGACCAAGCCAGTACACACAGCTTATAAATAGCACCAAGGGGTGACAAACCCACACAGTAGTAAGACAGGCTGCTCTATCTCCCCTACAGAATGCTTTCAATAAGAGCTGCATGAAGAGCACACCCTGTCTTTTACTTTTACAGCCAAAGGTAATGTAAAGGGGGAAGGAAAAAAAACCAGTATGACACACCCTGAATGAAATAGGAAAGTGTTGGGGAAGTTGCACATGGGGCAGTCTCTGGCTATCATCTAATTTGGGAGCAAAGAATTTGAAGACTAAAAAAGAAAATGGGAATTGACAACAGGGCAATTCGTACCCCCTGACATGGGTGGCTAATTTAAAGTGATTACACAGATACTGTGTAACAGAAATTCATTAAGAAATACAATTTACGTAACATTCAGAAAAACCTGCAGGCACATCTTCTCAAAGTTACTATCTGTGCACATGCATACTATTTTTATTTTGGATTTATAAGCCATCCTCATTTGATAAAATGGACACAATGTTTAAGTTATGGGATATATTGTTTCAACCTATCAAATGTAAAAGCAGCAAGCTATTTAATTATAAGTACTGAAATACAGCAAATAGAAATATTCGACCACAAGCATGTAATTGCAATATGCCAGAAATGTTACATTTAAAGCATAAGATGGAATAACCTGCACTATCAACTAACAATTATGCTCATATCAGGGCTGTGAATTCTGGGTAATTTCAAAATTACACTAGTTTTGCATATATTCATAGCTTTGCAGCTCAGTCCTCATTGACACATTGTCCCAAATCTCATTTTGTAGTGCATATAGATTTGGGCTCTGTGCATCTCACTTCATAGAGAAAAAAGCAACAACTGGGGCAAGCAGTGTATGTGGGATGGGGCTTGCCACCCTGCTATCATCTTCCCCTCATCCCGTTCAAAAGTAGTTGCCTTTCATTGTTCTATATATTCTCTAGGAAACTGACTGTAGGTGCTCCCTCTCAGGACTGGATCATCTCTAGGGTCTGAGTGCTTTCTTGGGACCAACTGGGGCCTTGGTATCGTTGGACAGGAGCTGTCATGGCATCTGCACTTTTGCAGGGTGGCAGTGGCTATCTTTTTTGCATGCTTGGCCGCTTTCTTGGCCATGTGGTCCTCTGTGGAGGCATTCAGAGTCTGTGGCTTCCAAGGTCCTGGCCCTCAGTTGATCAGCCCTGCATTTTCAGACCTGTTTTGTGAAGGCCTAGCAATATGGGCACAATTTGATAAGGTGTCTCTTGCCCAAACAGAAGAGGCAGTGGGAGTGTCTGTCTGGGGAGGTGTTGTTACTCCCACAATGAATGCACTTTCTAACAAGTGTCTTTGACACCATCTTGGTAGATATACAAAAGATCAAACAGAAAGCAGGTAGGATAATTTTATCTGTCTATGTTTTTTACAAGTAAACAGTGAAGATGAAGTTCATGGAGAGATGGGTAAAAAGGAGCAGAAAGTGGTAGAGAGAAAAATATTAATAAATGCTGGAAAAAAACTCAAGTTGAGGAGGAAACACTTCCTGATCTAGGCATGAAGGTGGACAAAAAGAAACTGAGGGAATGGGTGGGAACCCCTTCCATGGATGCAAGAAAGAGAAAGGTGAAGTACCCCCACCCAAACCAACATTTAGCTGTAGAATCTTCCCAACAACAGGCTCCCTACAAACATGGAGCCCATATGTGTAATGCACAGAAACCACAAAGAAGAATTAGTAGAAATTATCAGAAGTTTGCCTGATAGTTATATTACTGGCATTAAAAATAAAGAAAATCAAGATGAATCAGTGCAAAATCCTGGTAGCTCAAGATAGGATATGCAACATTACTGTAGAATTAAGATTTTAACTTTGCCACTGCTTTTGTGTCAAGTTATTAAAAATTTTCTCCTCATGAAACAATAGTGACCATCCTCTGATAACAAGTTCAAGCCAGATGTCAGTATCACTGCCTCCAGGCAGGATTCAGTTATGTTTCTCTCTAAAGTAGCATTTCCACATCTACATTTATTTATTATTTGAAACATTTTCATCTTGCTCTTCAGTTGTAAAGGCCCTACAAGATCCATTTAAACAAGGCAGAACTTGTCCAGAGGCTGCAGCATGAAAGGGAAAGGGAAAGAGGATGAAAGAAGGAAACGAGCAAACTTAAAAGCATCAGTCCAAAAATTACATAATACTCATAAATGCTAGCTTGGAAGGAAAAGTTCAGATTAGGAAGGAGCCAAATGGCATTGCTCTTTCAACAGCTGATAAAGCAGGTCTGCTACCCATCACTTCCTCTGCAGGATCTTTATGGCATGAATGCTGCTACATCTCCCCATATCTAGATAACTCCCTGTGCCTATCAGAGGCCTTTCTTCATGTAAGCATGGGTATCACTGTTTACAGAATCATTTAATCCAATTCAGATTAAATTCTTCAAGGGCTGTCACTTATGCAGCCAAACTGGCAATAGCCACGCGCAAGGATATCAAGGCAACCCAGGGGTTTACAGGAGAACAAAAACAAACAAACAGATCAAGAAAAAAAACCTGAGGAAAGCTATTTCCCCAATCAGCCCAATAAGGACTGAGTGTGCATTTCCACATAAAGCTGACAGACTGTTGAAAGTGAAAACCAAGTGGGCAGGTGAATGGAACGGATGAAAAATAATGGAAGGCACACAGACGCAAAGGTACCCTCCCATTCACTTCCTCTCTTGTCAGTTTGACATCTACCTGTTCAACAGCACTAAGAAGTCTAGTTGAAAAGTGAGTGTGCTTCAAAGCACCCAATATACATATGACACATTTTGTTACAAGGCCCCACTTGTTTCGTCTATTTCCAATGTTCAGGCTGTGAGAACTGTGCCTAGCATAGCCAAAACAGTTCCACCCACATGTACAAGGCAGTTATCAGCAGCCTCAGGAAAATGTCAAGGGTTAGGGGAAAAAATATAATAGGATGCTCCACTGGTGCAAGATTACTCTGCTCTCACTGTGGCTCTGCACAATGTAGCCCATATTGTTCGGGAGCACCCAGCCCACAATTTCTCAGGGAGTGCAGGGTCTCCAGAGGGAACAGAGAATAGAAAGATCCATAACCCATACTACCACAGTAAAAACACAGCATCCAACCAACAGTCCAATGGGGGGAAAAACACAATAACCTGGTTTGCATGATCACTGCAACACAGAGTAGCTTACTAGGCACTATGGGATGCAGTGCCTTCAAGCACCACACAGTTGATCTAAGCCTCTGCTGCTTCTCATCATGTGCAAACCTAGTGAGAGAGGGTTGCTGGGATGCTTGACAAGCCAAAATCCTTGCACTGTTTTAAGGCTGTAGATGATTTGTCAGATTCATGCACAACAAGCAGCTCTGGCATTGTACTGGGAATATTCAAAATGGCTCCCACTATAAAAAGACGTCCCACAAGCCATCGCTGTTTCATGCTATGTGTGAATGTTTTGGTTGAACTGTGGGCTGAAGGTCTGAGTTATCCCAAGTGGTCAGCCACGTTCAGATTTACTTATAACAAGGCTTTATTGAAAGAGCAAGCAAATTACTCTAAAGTTTTAGCATTTCCAAGGGTTTAGCAACCAAGGCACTTACAATACTCAACATGGACAAGCCTGCTAAGAGGCCCAGTTAGCCAAAATGGACAGTCAACAAAGCCCCCTCGAGGATGTCTGGTATCTGAACACTGCCCAAAGGAAAATGGCCAGCTTACTCATGGGAAAGGGGTTGGCCGCTACACAGGGGCAGTGACTAAGCAGTGAGAAACTACTGCTTTACTTCATTAGAAAGCCCAAATAAAGCTTCCTAGCACTGGACACCATAGGGCCCAAAGTTTCCCATCTTGTTAGTGTGTCTCAAGCCATAACAGTGGAAGTTTCCCTTTCTGGCTAGTCCATATATTCTTACTCCATGAATCCAAGGCAAACCATTCAACATCACAGTAGTCCAAGTCTATGTTCCAACCACTGATCTGAAGAGGCTGAAGTTGACTGGTTCTATGAAGCCCTAGAAATAACACCAGAAATGATGTCCTTTCATCAGCTGCTGCCACCTTATCTTTCTGTTCCTATATCCTGATGCATTCCTGCCTGTGAACTTCACCAGAACCTGAAGGTCTCCTGTTCCCTCAAAACAGTCCACCGTGTCTCTGTCAATGCTCCAAGTACCTGGAGCTTCCTGGCAAATAGATGGGGAAGAAATGAAGGTAGTGACAGATTTTATTTTCCTGGGCTCCAAGATCACCGCAGACAGTGACTACACCCAAGAAATTAAAAGACACTTGATCCTTAGAAGGAACGCTATGGCAAATCTAGATGGAATACTCAAAAGTAGAGACATCACCCTGCCAACAAAAGTTCTTATATTCAAAGCTATGGTTTCCCAGTTGCAATGCATGGCTGTTAGAGTTGGACCATAAGGAAGGTTGAGCGCTGAAGAATCGAGGCCTTTGAATTGTGGTGCTGAAGAAGACTCCTGAGAGTCCCTTGGACTGCAAAGAGATAAAACCAGTCTATAAAAGAAATCAATCCTGACTGCTCTTCAAAAGGTCAGATACTGAAGATGAAACTAAAATACTTTGGCCACTTAATGAAAAGGAACAACTCACTGGAGAAGACCCTGATGCTGGGAACAATTGACGACAAAAGGTGAAGGGGATGGCAGAGGATGAGGTGGCTAGATGGAGTCACTGGACAAGTGGGGGTGACTTGGGTGGGATGGACTCCTTGGGATGCTGGAGGACAGGAGAGCCCGGAGG